GTTTTTGCTATACCTCGCATAACGCCAACCCGCGCTTCCTCCCTCGTGCCTGGGGTTTTATCGATCAACCCATGGATGGTGAACTTAGGAGAGCCTGTTTCCTCCATCCCCACGGTTTACCCCGGTTGTCCGGGTGGCACTGGACCGAGATGAGCAGTTCCGGCGAGATGAGATTTGAGCTTCCCAGCTGCCTCAACTTGACCTCTTTTTGGTCTATGAGTATTTACGATCGCTGCTCGCTGCCCTCGGCGTTTCTCGAAATGGTCCACCGTAACAGAGCCTCATTGATTCATCTCCATAGAAGAATGTGCGATCCGAGGCACCCGAGTGGTACGAGAGCCCCGATAATCGGAAGACGCAGATACATACATTCCGCGATTGTACAAATACGGTCCGTAGCAGCATTCATCACGGGGAATTTTGTTGTGGCGCGAGATGAGTCACTCTTGTTAAACCAAATAGATTGTCTAGTTGGAAACTTAGGGCGTGGTTTGCACTTTGCAGTAACTAGGGGATGGTTGAGTGCAACGGTGCAACGGTAGTAAGCACGGAGGAAGCCGCGTGTATCCCCGATAGGCAGTTTCTTCATATCAGTGCTGAATGAGTGAAACCAATCAATCAACGTGGAAGAGAATGGGCGAAGAGAGAAAAAAAAGACTCAAAGGATCGTCAGCCTCGATTTATAAGCAGGCGAGACCTTCTCAAGGGTTTTTAGGCACTTTACCTTTATTGGTTGAAGTGCCTCCCCCGCTTTTGCTGTGCACCAATGACCATCCACAGATAGGTTCACCGCCCTCTGCCGCCTTAGGCAGCGACTCGCCCCCCTCCTCAATCTCCGTCCCTCCGCCCTCTCCATTCCATCATCTTTCTTCTTTCATCCAATTTATCCAATTTACTCAGTATTCCCTCAACTTGCAGACTCACACCACTTCCCCTTCAGTTCCCCGAACTACGCCTTTCTTGTCTTAGGTCCTTAAGTCCTCCAGCGATCCAGGCAGCGAATCATTCCCCCATGATCCTGAAACCGTCTTCGCCTTAGTGTCCTTTCGCCTGCCTCGCCCACCCACCCCCCACCCCCCTCCTTCCCTCTACGCTTCTCTTCCATCTTCCATCCTTTCATTGTCAGTCCACCGGCTTGCATCATCATTTTCTTTCCTTATTCCACACTTTCTCCGAGCCCCTCTTCTCCTCCTGACCTATCCCCAACCCCGGTGGTACCTTCGGCCATTCGTCAGCCTTTGTTGCGGCTTGTGCACTCGCTTGCTAGTTGCTTCGATACGGCTCCTGGTCAAGAACGTCCCTGATCCTTTCTTACCTCTCAAAATCCCAGCAAGGCTCTTCCACTGAGGACTTCTGCATCACTTCAATTACCTTGATCATTAATACCTCTCGAACAAGTCTTCGCAGAGTTCAGCTTCGGTGATATCGGCCTCTTTACCATAAACGAGTCTCTCATTCCTCTTCCGGGTCCTATCATTCAGGAGCCACGTCGATCACCCCATTTAGCCTCTGGGGTCAACATCGATACAACGAACGGGCGGGAAGCCCGGCCCTGATAGCTCAACGAACAGTCGAATCGAAATTCTTGACAAGACACTTGATCCTATCAGCTTCGTATACGAGACGCTATAGCGTAGCTATCAGATCACCGATTCTTTCCAGTTAGCCTAATCATATTCTCGCTTCGAAAACGCGTCCTTCCAGCACCACCCGTATCCTCCTTTCACAATGGCCGACTACAACTCCCTCTATCAACACAGCTTGTACCTCTCCCCCGACCAGCAAGACCTTCTTCTGGCCGCGCTTTCTTCCAACAATCCTCCGCCCAAACAGCAAGCCAACAACCAAATCAAGAGATCAGCTTCAGAGCCAGACTCCCCCCCCGGTAATGCATCCTCGAGCAGTTACAATGTATCGCCTGGGTTTGACATCACCCAACCCAACTCCGGTACCTTGGGCTATGGTGATGACGAAAGTCCTTTCCTCGACTTCAATCCAGAGCTTGACTTTGACTTTCAAGGTACGGAGAATTTGATCGGTGATTTGCCCGAAGGACTTTCTCTGCCGGACGAACATGAAGCAGGCGAGAAGAGAAAGGACATGGACGGCCCTGCCGAAGAAAATGAAGGCGCTGGCAAGAAACGAAGGGAGAGTGATGACAAGACAGCCAAGAAGCCGGGAAGAAAGCCATTGACTTCGGAACCCACCTCGGTACGTTTTGTCTGCGCCGTTCGTAGTAATCTACCCTTCCATCCCTGTACTAATTCCTTTATAGAAGCGTAAAGCACAGAATCGCGCAGCTCAACGGGCATTCCGTGAGCGTAAGGAGAAGCATTTGAAGGATCTTGAAACAAAGGTGGATGAATTGCAAAAGGCATCGGATGATGCGAACCAGGAAAATGGTTTGCTTCGCGCCCAGATTGAGCGTCTGCAGGTTGAACTCAAAGAGTACCGGAAACGTCTTTCATGGGTTACCAGCACAAACGGGCTCTCGGCTATGAACGCTATCCCTGGAGCCTACTCCAAGGGAAATTACACTGGTCTTCAGAACAATGATTTCATGTTCGACTTCCCCAAATTTGGCGACCTTCCAGGTGCTCATATCTTCAACAATGGTCAATGGGGCAAGAACCAACAGAACAACAAGCTCAAGAACGACGTCAATTCACGAAGCGAGTCCCGTGTCCCTGGTGTTCTGAGTCGAGACTCATTGAATGGAATCAAGACCAATGGATCTGCGACGAATACGCCTAGCCCTATGTCACAGTCTAACGGTGAACGCTTGGGTTCCAAGAGTACTACGCCCAAGCTTCCAATGACCCACAATACTCAGCACGCACCTTCTGTACAAGATGTTTCAAATTCTGATTCTCCGTCTTCCTCGTCCGACTCTCACCAAAGCCAGTTCCTCTCTTCCAGCGGCACCTCTCCTGAACCATCTGTCAACTCGCCCGCAATCAAGCACCACGCTGACCACAGTAACTGTACTTATAATGGAATCAACGGCGAGGAGTCCTTTTGCGCACAGCTCGGTATGGCTTGTGGCAATATCAAAAATCCTATCCCGGCGGTTAGGCACAGCAGTGTCAGCGTTGCGAACACGCCCAGTCAACCTGAGCAGGGTTCGGCAGAAACTGCTCCCGAGCCCGCTCTTGAGATCCTGGCTCAGCAGAATGGTGGGCAATTTGACCCGGTATTGTTCGGAGATTGGCGCGAACCACAAGACGCAATATTGTCACAAGACTTTGGCACTTTCTTCGACGATGCATTCCCGTTGCCGGATTTGGGTAGTCCTTCGCACAACTTCAGCGAATTGGCCGGTCAACAGCAGCAACAGCAACAGCAACAGCAACAGCAACAGCAACAGCCTAAGAGGAGTCTGATTGACGAGATCGACAGCAAGCTGGACGAAGATGAGGTGGTTCCTGGGGAAGACAAGACACAGATGATGAGTTGCACCAAGATATGGTACGTTCTTTTATCGCGTGACATGAATCAAGGTATACTAACACAGTCTAGGGATCGCCTGCAATCCATGGAGAAATTCCGCAATGGCGAACTCGATGTCGACAACCTCTGCTCAGAGCTGCGCATGAAGGCTCGGTGTTCAGAGGGCGGCGTGGTCGTCAATCAGCAAGATGTCGAAGACATCATGGGACGTGCCAAGTAGTTCATACAAATCACCATCGATCTATCGACAAGGAACTTCCAACGCCGTCGCTACCGATTCCGACACCATCGTTATGCGTTTCAGATACCCACCCTTTTAAATACAATCACCATACTACCGCTATTGATGTCGTTATGACCCCAGGGAAAACATTTTGGATCACGGGAGCTCTTCATTCTGAAGAGCCAGCCCACAATATGTGAACGAAGACCAAATTCAGCCGGTATAATTTAACCAGCTCTATATTCTATTGTTTTCTCCGACAAATTATGTACACACATACTACAATATACCATCCACACTCATTGCCTACTTCCTCTTTCTCTATTCTGTCATTGTTATTCATCTCTCTGCACACTGACATGATCACGGGAGGCGTGCTTCTGTTAATTCATTGTTAATCTCCGTATCCCCTGGAGCTTGCGGGGAGATATTGTACATCACCACCATCGCTTTTGGAGTCTGAATTCTGTACCTGATTCCTCGAACTCTCAATGTGCTCGATGTGCTCGATTTGCTTGCTTTTCACTTGGATCGAGAAAGAAACTCCTTCCTCTCTTTGTTCTGCTTGCACTCACACAAACACTGAATCAGCGCTTCTTGATTAGGTATCTTGTTCTTGCCGGACGTCGGGGGTCTTTTTTTCATCAACACTGGGAATGGATTGGATTGATTATCAGGCACTGCGGCGCATCTGCGTTCTGCGTTAATAAGAGGTAGGCGGCTAGGGGGGAAATTGATGGGTTCGAGCTTTGGGTTTCAATCCTGTTGGTGTTTTGTCTTTCACGTCTGTTCCGTCGCTCTTTATATCATTTTATATCAGTAATCAGAGCCAGTGCTATGAAATCCATTACATCTCTACCTATAGTCACGGGTTGAGTAATCGCGATCTCAGCTGTAGATGCAGTGCGTTCCCTGTTCTTCGAGTTTCGAGGTTTGCACCAAGGCCTCTCTCGCCCAAGAATACCAAATATATTCTATCACCAAAACCAGCAAATCCGCCCAGCAAAGAGCCTAAAACTACGAACTATGTGGTAAGCAACATAAATATATGCCACATCCCTAGCCCTGCATTTACTCAGCACTACACCAATCCATGAATAAATCCAAGACCCAAAATGAAGTTACTAGGGTATCGATATTGGGTAACGTCTCCCGATAGAGAAAACAGAGAAATTTAAAGTACAAAAAAAAAAAAAGAAAAAGAAATAAGTTAAAGAAAAACATGACCGCTCAGCTCTCTCTCCTTTCTCGACTCGAAATCTCTTCTTCTTTCCCACCCCCTATTTTTTGGGTTTCCATAGTGCCCTCTCCCCTCGTCTCTTCCTAATCTCAGGAGAATCCTTCTCTCATCCACCCACACATAGTTTCCGTATCTTGACATCCTCCTCTTGCCTCGCCCGCACGACCGGTGGAGCTGCTCCCCATATCTTTTACCCCAACCGTGGCTTCTGTACCAACGAATAACATAAACTCCTTAGCTCCCGATGGTTTGCCAGAATCTCGATTTGAGACGGACCGGACATAGACTGATCTATTAGTGGAACAATCCTACCATCGTTGCACGGTAAATGTCTACATGGAAAAAGAAGGAAGAACGAGAGAAAAAAAATCAATGAAGATTCAAACGCATCTCGCTCAAAGAGGTAATGGAAAAAAAGGGTAGTGGAAAAAGTAGATAAGGGAAGAGAAAAGAGGACATCATTTTTGCAGATAAGAAATATCCTGCACAAAGAAGATTAAAGTATCAAGCGAAGACCGTGCAAGATTCGTAGGGAACATGGTGGGTGATGATTTCAGGGTAGGACGGATGCTAGAGACAGATGAGGCATGATGAGAGAGTAAGGAAGAGAGGTAAGGAGCACGGATAGAAAAAAAAAGGTTAGAAAAAGCTTTCGACACGGAATGAGGAAGACGACGGAGAAGGCGAGATGAAATCAATAGATGCGACGACAATTACACCTCAAGCGTCACCCCCAGCTGCGGCAACAGGCTTGTTATCCCCAGCCGAAGACTCGGACGGGCCACCCTTGTTGAAGCCACCACGACCGCCGCGGCCGCCGCGACCGCCTCGATCGCCCCGGCCCCGGCCTCGTCCGCCAAATCCACGGCCCCGGTTGGTCTCACTGTCGCTGGCACCACCGCTCTGGTATCCGCGCTGAGAGGAGCTGGCACCGCCGCGGTTGCTGCTCTGCCATGTGCCGGCATTGCCACGGTGGCTGCCGCGATCCTCGAAGAACTTGATGTTGGGCTTGCGGGGCTGACCAGGTGGGCTGGGCTTTTTGTGGTCCGCGGGCTGGCGCTCCAGCGCGGCCTTGGCCTCTTCAACAGTCGCAAAGGTCACAACGTGGTTGAACTTTCCCCACTTCTCCACTCGTACCATCTTGGCCCGGTCTTCCTCGGGGAAGAGATCGCGCACGGCTTGCTCGTTGTCGACGTTGGAGACGAAGAGACCGTTGCTTGCCTTCTTCTCGGGCTTAGGCAGGGGAGACTCAGACGGCTTTTCAGGCTGAGCGGTGCCGTTGGGCTCGGTGGCAGCGGCTCTCTCGGGGGAGGCCACGGAGGGCTGACCGGCAGGAGCGCTAGGAGGCTGGGGAGTAGCAGGCTTGGGGATCACGGGAGCCGGAGAGGTGCGGGCGGGGGCGGTGGCAGAGGCCTTGGCCTGGGTGGGCTGAGGGGGTTGCTGTGCCGGGGCACCAGGACGTCCAGAAACTGGCTGCACCTGACCGAACTGAGGAGTAGCACCGGGAATGCGGGGAGAGGCGACACTGGCGGGAGCACCAGCAGCAGGGACGGGGGCAGCTTGGGCAGGGGCCACAGGTTGGGGCTTTCCAGTGCGGTGAGCGAAGTTGAAACCCTGCGCGCGCATTTCGGTCGCAATGCGGCCGGCCTCAATCTCTAGCACGAGGAAGCCGAAAGCCGCATCCGCCAAGTTGAAATTCCACATGTTCTTGAACGCACTCTCGTCCACCTGGCCGGCCGCGTTGCCGGGAGCAGCAGGCCCACCAAAGGGATTGCCGCCGTTAGCAACAGTAGGCATCCGGTTGACCACCTCCAGAGCGTTGTCCAGCAGAGTCTTCTGGGCCTCGTTCTGGGAAATAGCCGTCTCAACCTCTCCACGGACAGTCTCCCATACGTCGTTGAATGATGCCTTGGAAGCAGCCAGCTTGCCGCGGTAGTGATCCAGCGAGGGGTTGACGGAAAACTCATTGTAAGACGAGCCGTAGCGGAAGTGCAGACCGGCGGAGATGGAGAAGTCGGCTTTGAGGGTGACGGATAGTTGATTCAGCATGCCCTCACGGGCGGGAGAGGCATGCGTGACGAAAACGCGGGTCTCAGACGGGTCATACACACGGTTGGCCGTGTCGATCAACTCGCCCATTTGCAAGAGGGTCGTCCACATAGTACCTTGACCGCCCGCAATCGTAGTCTTGCCCTCGCCATTGTCGAATAGCTTGTGCATCACGACAGCACCACCCAGACCCAACAGACGCAGCTTGACGCCACCGATGTCTAGCAGTCGCGAGTTGGCCTCATCGATGATGTGCAGGTTGTTGACCTTGTACTCCCCCGAGCGGAACTTCTCCAACACGCGGACATCTTCACAGGCGCCCCAGACCGTGTACACCGGAACATCGAGAGTCAGCCGCTTGTCCAGCAGCATGGAGAGTTCTGAAAGGGGAAGCTGGTCGGGGGTGAATCGTTGCTTGATCGACTGCTGGGGAGGGGTCTGGGCGATCGTCCGCTTCACATTCTCCGGTAGCAAAGGTGAGTATTGGGCCACGTGCTTCAAAGTCCTAAAGTTGATAGCCCAATCGGTCAGTGGGAACCGATCCGATCACATGTGTTGCATGCATCGAGGCCGGCATTCAAGACGAACGAAGACACTCCATTGAAGCACCCGGAATCACTCACTTATCCGCAATGCGCTCCAGCGAGGTATCATCGTAGAAACCAAAGTCACCAGTGTGGATAATGTGGTCCGCACGGGCCTGTCTAGCCAGTTCATTCAGAGACTTGAGATTTCCTACGTCACGGAAAAAGCAAAACAAAGTTCCTCCAAATCAGCGATCGTGTTTTCTGGGTGCGACCGACCCATCGGAGGTCTATCCGGGGCACATACCTCGAACATCAGCGATACACAGGACTCTGACGGGACCATTTTGCAAGACGCGGCCATTGTTGGGGAGAAGAGGGGTGGCGCCGGGGACAGGGCCAGAAGTGACAGCGCCGTTGGGAAGCGGATAGCCTTGAGGACCAAAGTTGTGAGGAGGACGGGGCTAGAGAGAGAGGTCGAAGATCAGTCAGTGAGCTGCAAAAGCTATACCTCAAGCGAGCGCGTGCGGAGGATCGCCAAACGCATGGATGGAGAAAAGGGATAGAGGGGAGGAAGCAGCCATGACGTTGAGCATGAGCAGCTAAGCTGAAGAGGCGATCAGGCAAGACGTACAGAAGCCATGGGGGAGAATCTAATGACGGGGAGGGGGGCGACGGAGAATCAAGGGTGAGGAAATTGAAGAAAGCAGAAAGAGGCTGTAAAAGACAGGCAGCAAGAGAAGAAGGAGATGATATGGAGAGAGACACAAAGCAGAAGAAGAGTGGGAATGGGGAGCAAGTGAGGGAAGAAGATGGGGGGGATCCTGGGAGGAGAACAGCAACAGCCAGCAAGCAGTGAGTGGTTGAAGCAACGGACACCCAAGAGAGGTTTGGTTTGACGGGTTTGCCGTCTTTGGCAACACAACGACATCCCCGCTTAGGTAAGCATCCACCAGGGGCAGCTCTTTTTCTCTCCATGCTCTACTAGCCAAATAATCCAATTAATCCAAATAAAGGGCGCAAGGGATTGACGGTCAAATACGACACGCACACTCTAACTTAGCTGTACCACTAAATGAACAAAGGAGCTTGTGCAGTATTCAATTCAGACCGGCCAACCTGGCTGGTGGTGGAGGCAAACCACCCCCTTCTACACTGTAACACAAGACCTTGAAAAGCACCGACAGGCTACCAAATTACATTGCCTACATACATGCTCCTCGCTGGTATCTAATCTCAGAGCTCAGAGCTCAGAGACATTTGCTCATACTGACTTTCTTCCTCCAGGACTTCAAGTCTTCTATACACGGCCTGCTGCAGACAACGAGGACCCTGCAGTGCCAACAAAGCAAAATGTCCTCCCACTGTAGGCCGCGCTCGACACAAGACAGGGACCCCCGAGCGGCCTCCTTTGGCTGATGTGGCGATATAGCGATCGGAAAACGGCCAGTGATGTTTGCCGTTGGTCATATATCTCCACAAGTCGTCAACAAACTCATCGCGGGTGGTGGAGTCCAACGTCCCAGCCAGCCACATGTTCCAGTCCGACTTGGCCCAGTCCTGTCGGTCATCCAAGGGTACACCATACTCGGCTCGGACCGATTTAAAGAAAGTATTCCCCATGTCATATGCGGCCTTGGGAAAGGTGCGTAGGCCTAACAACACATCAGGGTAGAGATTGTACGGAATCTTCCAGGAGGCCGGCTTTCCTGGGTACTGCAGCGCAAAGTGTGTCTTTTGCGCGTCCACCCCCAATCCCCGGGAGAACAGCAGCTCGGCTCTTTCGTCGCCAACACGCGAGTATTCGGAGAAGCCTGTCAGCTCCCCGAATGCCTTGATACCAACGGCAGCCTTGATCGCAAGGTTAGTCTCGTTGGCCAGAGGTCCAGCGGCATCGTTGGAAGACAACTGCTCAGCTATGTCGATGCCGTTGTCGACCAGATAATCTGCATAGTCCTGGAGAAGCTCGGTGTACCGGGACGCCCAGTCTGTATCTCCCGTGGCACGAACATAGGCGAGTACGAGAACCAATAGGTTCCCGCATTCCTCGATTGGCATTGGTTCTGCTTGTTGATTGTCGTGGCCAACTGCATTCGGGTAATGTGAGCCCAAATCATGAATCACGTAAGGCTGCCGCCAGCGTCCGGCGGCGAGGTACCTCATCATGGGCTCTAGCAGAAGTCGGATGTAGTTTGGGTCCAGAATATAGTAGATGGGGAAAGCAGGCATGATGACGTCCACCGTGTTGATGTTGCCATCGCTGGAAAGCTCTTTGATGAACGCTAACACATCTGTGATATTCAGCGTGTCATTAGGAATGGTAATCTCAATCCCTGCATAGGCCTGCCGACTCGACAAAGTCACAATGTCAGCGTATTTCTGCCCTGCAACGGCGGCCGCCTGTTTCGCCATCTCCAAATCAAGAGTGTGTGACTCTCGAAGAGCATCGGGGTAATCATTCAAGAAGTGCGCAACTGCTTGCTCTGTTCTGGGGTACAAGGCCCGGTAGTATCCTGTATACGGCCTCCCTAGGTAGTTGATTGACTCTTCGCGCACATGCCCAACGGCAAAAGTCACTGACTGCGCGTTCACAAGAAATCCTAAGTCGTGAGCAACAGCAACAATACCCCCAGTCGTCAGGAATTGGTTGGCATTATCTAGCTTTCCAGTTCTCGCAAATTGGGACTGCACATCTTTTCGTTCTCCCGAGGCATATGAGAGGCTTGAGTCTAAGGTAGATTGAGAGGCTAGGACGGCTTCGCCCCAAGCTGCCATGTCACTTTCCTCGGAGTACGGAATCGCATTCTGCGATCGTAAGGAGTACACAGAAGTAGCATTCGCATAAAGAAAGCCACAAGACGTAGATTCTGACTTTCCTGTCCAGCTTTTGTCAATGCTCGAGTAGATCTGGACATTGTTGGATGACGCTCCAGAAATCGAGACTGTCAGATAGCCTGAAGGTAAGCTAGTCAGCACGCAGCCGACGAGTGTCATGCATAGAACCCGCCTTACTGAATGGTAGGGACTGGCGAAGGTAGTTAGAGGGCGAGATGGGTGAAAAGAAGTCTAGTGTAAGTATCACCGAGCCAGCAGTGAGAGTGAAGATGGAGTGTGTGGCAGTGTATTCTGCACTGCGAACAGTAGCAGGGCGAATGAGTTTATCAGAGCCCTTGACGTTCATCAGACTATAAGCCTGGCCATCTACACGAGCCATAATGGACCAGGTAAGATTCTGGCCAGTCCAGAAATGTGGCTCGGCCTCAGGGAGTCTCCCGACTTGATCGCTCGGCATCCATGTTGATAGGTATGGGCTTCGCACTGCCAGTGGATAAGATGGAGGAAGAACAGGTTGATGGAGAACGCTGGCCTGCTTGTTGGGCGTAAGAACGGAGAGTACGGTGGCCAAAAGTGAGCTCAGACCTAGGTTGGTAGTGAAGTCCAGATACATTGTGTATTCGCAGTGAAGTGAAGAATACAATCCAAGGGAAGAAGCAGGAGGGAGGGAGGGAAGAGAGGAGGGGAAATCCGCTGGTGACGACGACTGGCCCGCCCTGACTGCTGATCACCAATTTTCATCCCATGAACACGCCACTTTTCGCCTTCAACAGATGATGTTTATACTTTTTCGATGCAAGTCTGACACTTTCAAAGACATGGTGCAAGCGGTGTTCTGTTCAAAATGCTCCCTAGCCTCGACGCTCACTTAAAAGCTTGCAGTGCAAGGAACTCGCCGAAAGTCCCTAATATGTGGCCTCACCCTCTCCCTTCAGAGTTCACCTTTAATTCTTGCAAAGCTTTCAGATATCTTTGCAGGCCTTGTCCATGTATTCAACCGCCATCACGAGGATCTCTCCATGGGACCAGGTGCAATGAACGGCCGGCCGGTGTAAGCTCCGTTCCAAACTTGACAACCGTGCTTGGAACAGATACTGCAATTTTCCGGCTCATAACTAGCAATGTGATCCAAAATTGCTCGTGAAGTTAGAAAGGATCCAGAAGTATCAGAGGTAATCGGCTGGTTATGGCGACAGTACAATAGCTGGCTACATCGTTCTCTGGCTGGGTCCCAGAGGGAAGCTAAGCATAAGTAGACTGAGTGTATATGCTGGACCTTGAAGGGCCTCCAAGATTTGAACCAATGTAATCATAGATATTGAAACAGGACGAGTAGCATCTGGCACGTTCACCCGACAATATCCTGATAATTAGCCGTTTTCATGTGGGCAAAGAGCGCCGCGTCCTCATGAGCATATGCAGAATGTTTGCTCAGGGATTCTGACTCCTCATTGTCTGATCACTCTGGGCTTCTACCCTGGGCTTCTAACCCTTCAAGCTGAGGGCTTTTCGCCCGGTCGGCTTGTATGTCTCGACAAGGACGAGTAAGTAAGCCTGACCCCATTCCCGTTTACAATGACCTCGGGTGAAGCTGATGAACCAGTTGCAGATACGGCCCTGGCAGGCATGAGGGTGCAGCGTTGAGATAGCGTGCTTGACGGGGTTGAATTGCTTCGTAGTCATGGTCTATCGGGAGGTTCCGGCGGGGCGGGAACAGAGAGCATGGGAAGGCCGAAGAGAAAGTGAATGAGGAGATTTGAGAGAAGTTGGGGATTCCTGTTGTACATGACTGATAACAAGATAATATCATACCTATCAAAGGGAGTCCCAGCACCAGTTGGCGTCTCGGCGGCATCTTCCCTAGAGATAGTTCGCAACCTTGACCACCACAAAAAGCCCGGAGACTCTTCGCAACGTTCCCGATAAGAGCCAAGAGTTGTAAAGCTCGTATTGAGGGCCACGACCTCTCCATGAATTTCAAGTATCGATCCTTAACTCAGACAAATTCAAGTGTATCGATAATCTTGCTAAGGGCAACATGGTAGGCTCCGGTCCAACGGATAATGCTGCCTCGAAACATTGATGGGGGTCTGCATCGCAGTCGTACCTCCGACGGCGTCCGCAATAAACACGGGCATGAGTTGTTGGTTGTACTGATATGGTACTCAGCGGCTTCTGCTCTATGAAATCTGCCTTTACAGAGTCTGAGATGAGGTAAATCACGAGGAACCCGGTGCACAGTGCAGTCATCTCGGGCTCATTCGAGTTTCGAATTGATATTGTACACACTTTGAGCATGGTACACTCTGCTTAAAATTGGGAGACGGAGGCATGGAGCTTCCCCCCTTCGTCGGTAGCACGCCGTGTCCTGTCATATTTGTAATAGTCCACCGTTTGTGGATAAAAGAAACATGCTACCGTAACAGTAGCTTCCAGCGACCCGATAAAAGCCACCTGAAGGGCATATAGCATCGGGTCTTCAGACCTTTGTTTATAACGTATATAACTTCGACATTCGAGGCTGAATTTTCGCTAATGTACCGTTCTTACTGTTTCGTTATCGTCATCACGCTAGTGAGTTGATTGAAACCTCACTCTGGTTCATCATCGGTACCGTGCACTTGCCGGGAATTTCAAGCTTCAACTTCTTAGTCCTGTTCGAAGCTGGCTCAGCTCGATGCTAGCGTCGATACCGTTCCGATTGCCATGGACTGAGCTAAACGCGAATTGAGAGTGATTATGCACAATCCCCTATCTCGATGCCCGCACTCTTTGGGGCATGCAACTCACCGCCAAGTGCATACAATTCACTTAGAGTTCTGGAATCGAGCCCTCGTGCGTTTTTGCGCTCTGTGGAGTATACAGTACATGCTCTGCGACAGAGTTGAAGACCGTTTTGTGGACGAACCATCTGTCGCAAGCCATTGCACGGCGGTGTGGGCGAAAAGTTCTTCACAAAGGGCGTCAAAGGTGCCCTCCACGGTGAATTCGAGGCCATGCAAGAACGATTCAACGGGTGAATCGATTCGTAATGGTTCTTAGGATCTCGAGTCCACCTGAAGGACGATGCCTTTACCTGCGGGGCAGCATAGATATGCAGGACGCCGCGGCCGCTCGGGGACTACTTGCACCGATGAGATCACAACTATCTCGGATATATCTGAACAGATCGCGGTTGCCATTTCGATTGAGTCGTAGCAACAGCTGTCTTGCTGGTAGGTTGGTTTTGTAGTGGTAGAGGTTCGGTGGATCACTGGAGCTTCGTGGTAGTCATACGAGGTGCGATATCACAAGGCAAGCTATAGAGGCAATCTGCCAGAGCCACTTTCTCGAGGGGTATCAGTAATTGTTGAGGTTATCGATTACACTAAGTGGATGGATGGTGCAACGACGGTTTCAGATGCAGTCATAAGAGTAACTAGCAGAAATAGGTAAGATTAACTCTCGTTACCAAGTTTGAGTATTGGGGTGTAAAAGCGCTCACGCACGGTCCTCAAGGTCAAGCAAACGTGAGATGCTGTTTATCCCTTGAGATCAGACAGCGACCGGATCGTGTGTAATGAAGGAGAGTGAGGATATGGGGCAGCAGTCGGTTGAGCCTTCCGCCCCATTCCCCGGACTTGTTCCGCAACTATGATTGCTGCAACGGGGGGTTACCGGGCCGTGATGCTTCGAGCTCTTTTAGAAACTGCAATCGGTCGAGAAGAGCCAAGGAAAGGAGCATAGAACGTGGATTTGTGTCTGCGGACAGGGGGCGTCGTCTTAATGATCCGCTGGCATGCGAGCGTGGATGATCAACAGAAGAATACTCGTGGGCGCGAGAATGAAAATAACATAATAGATTGAAGCAATACCCAGCCAAGTCAGTACTTGGATGACGCTGTAAATCGAAAATTCGATGATGCGGTACAGATCCGAGTTGATCCCAGGGAAGATGATGCGAATTAGCCGAAGCACGAGGAGTTCGAGCACAGCAAACAGAAGAAAAAGCGCATTGTAATATACGAGAGAGAGCAGAAGTGATGAAGCGAAGGGGGATGACTCCAGGGGGTTGCCAGCGGTGATGAATGACATGACACTGCTGTTTGAAGACTGTTGAGGGTCTAAGGAATCGAGCATGATGGGCAGTGTAGTGTGTGAGTGAAAGACCGACGGTATTTATAGAATGGAGGGAAGGAAAGTTCCAGTCTGTGTAGTTGACAGAGCTTTAGCAAGCCAGAAGAGATATACAAAAGGAAGAGAAATGGTCACAGAAAAGAGAGGATGTTGGCAGCGGACAACAAGCGATACTTATGCCGCTTAAGAGAAGTTCAGCTGGTAGCGAAAGGGAAGAAAGAAGGCTTGTGAAATCCTTGGACTGATGAAAGTCGGTCGTTTGTCGTTCGGGCTCCTGTGGAGCCCAGGGGTGCTCACGCAAGGTAGTGTAAGGTCGATAACAAACGGAAGTGCGTTTGCTCATCCTGGATGAAAGAGCAGAGACAAACCGTCTTCTGTTCAACGGGAGCAGACAGAACACCGCAGTCTCGAATGCATCTGCCTGGCACGAAAAGAACCAGGATGCATCCAAGTAGGTTTCAGGACAGATGGAGATGAACAATTATCAGGATGCTATTAGTGAAATGCATATGCTAGTCTCAAAGATTGATCGGGTATCCCCAACAGAAACTGTAACAGTCTCAAAAAGCCCCCCGTACAGACACAAGAAACGGTATCAAGAGAAAGACACAAAGATCTAATCAAATCGTGACTTCAAATATGGTACATGACATGGCAGTTAAACGATTATGTTGGTTAGTATGAATGTGGCGCCCCCTGATCGGCCACGACTAAGTGACGGTGGTCTTGCTCGGGTAAAACCTAGCAATGGAAGTCAGCATAGCTCTAAGGTATGAAAGTCAGGGGCTCTTCTTACCAAGCAGCCACGGCGATAATCAAGTACATCATCATGAGTAGAACACCTTCGAGCCAGTGCGACTTTCCATCGGCGATGAGATAGTTGACCTGCGGAGGTTAGTGCATGTCCACGGCGCAGGTGTCGAGGTACAAACCAGAAGAACAGCAACAAATAGTAGGATCACCTGGAAACCGTCAAAGTAGAGGGTCATGTCATCATTGCCTAAGCAGCTGTTAGCGATTGGTCTCGACTCTTCTCCTCGACAACAAGACTGACCCATTCCCCACCCGATCACAATAATCAAGGGCAACACCAACAACGCGATCTGCATACTTGAGCCGACGGCCACGCCGATAGCCAGGTCCATCTTGTCCTTGCAAGCCACAGTGACAGCCGTCGCGTGCTCGGCCGCGTTACCAACAATGGGAAGAAGGATCAATCCCACAAAGGTCTCCGAGATGTTGCCGGTCTGCGTGAGAGCATCGATAGAATCAACCTGACCAAATTAGCCGTTGTCGAAGTAAGATGAGGCAAAGGATCAAGCATACCATGAATTCGGCACAAAGCGCAACAAAGACAGTCGAGATGACAAGTGTCAGCACGGCCACCCAGATGCTGAGCTGAGGCTGTTCCTCATCGTCTGGTTCCTGAAGCTCCACCTTCTGGGCATGCTCACCAGCCATCGAGGCCGTCATCTTGCCGATCTGCGCGATCCCCCGACTGGCGTCGCCTTCGTTGATTT